GATGCACAGTTAAAAAGTAAAAACAAAAGAAAAAGAGAGCAGCAAAGAGCCATGTCGACCGTACGAGGCGCCAGTGTAATACCTAGTTGTGTATTTATGTTAATTTGGGGTGTGGGGGGCGTGGCTTCCTTGTACCTTTAAAGTCTTCATAAACCTGTCGTGTCACCAGAAACCACAATTCAAAAGTCACCACAAACCATCATATAGTCAGGTCTGATATCTCAGGCTCTGTAGCTTCTTTAGGAAAGCTAAAGTGTGCTAAATTTTTTTCAATTTTTTTTCATTGGTTTAACCTTAGTTCTATTCCTCTAGGGTCAAGAAAAAGTTGTGTCAGTGTAATGCACCAACATACCTGTTTCAGGATTTTGTCGGCCTAAATCACATAAACCAGTGTGTGTGTGTGTAAACAGTTTGAGCATTTACAAAATCCGGGTCTACAGTGTGCTGACCTGATCCATGCTGCAGACTGACTGAAAGTAGTTGTGCTCCCCCTCAACCCTGATTAGCATTTGTATAGCTCACAGCATTCCCATTTACATGTTAAAGCCTCCTGTGGAGGAGGGAGGGGGTGATGGGTTACTAACGCCGTTACTTTTTTCAGTAACGAGTAATCTAACTAATTACTTTGACTGTAACTATAACGCCGTTATCATTTCCGACATCCCGTTACTGCGCGTTACTCAAGAAGCACAATGAACTTCTCTTTTTACTTTGTGATAGGACTCGTGCGCGTGTTGTCATGAGAGAAGGGAGGATGAGAAAACCTCTCAGCAATTATTGGCTGATGTAAAACATATTTCCTTTACAATCTACATGTCGACAGTTGAGAGGATGGCTCATAAATTGTGTTTTTGAAACAAATATGGGTCGCAATCGCGCTCAACCACAGCTTGTATCACCGTGAGGCCAGCCTCAGAGGAGCGCATGTGAGCGCAGAAGTCGGCTGCATACAATTCCATCGAAAGGCTCCTTTCTCTTCCTGGTTTATCTGCTACAGGCAGCAACAGGTTTGGCTAACATACATATAACACATTTTAAGATAATTTAAAATGCACTTAGGGTAATTTTTTAATGACTATAGGAATAATAAGAAAGAAAGGTGAAACGTAAGACGGTTGATTTTGGAAATTGGATGCACCCGGCTTCAGCTAGCAAAACACAGGAGTTTATGGAGGACACACGCGTTTTGTTTTACTTTTTAAAACTCATTGGACTCATTTCCAATTGGAGGATTACATATCTACGCTCAAACTATTATCTGGACTTAAACAAGGAACTGGTCTGAACCGAAGTGGACTGTGCAGGTCATTTAAAAGGTAAGACCCATAACTCATAGTTTTGCGTTTTGTATGAACAAACAATGCGGGCATGAATCATATTTTGCTGTAGCCAAACAAATTGTCCACTTGATTTCTATGATATATATGTTCATCTGATTGGGCTGAAGTCAGTGCTTCACCGGTGTTTCCACATTCACAGTGGCGGGTCTTGGTGTTTAGTGCTTACAGCACAGAGAGAGATGAAGAGTGAACAGGACTTCAGCAGAAAAACAGCCTTTTCTAGATGGAAATATTGGCACTATTTAAACTCACTGAGGTTAAAGGTGAAACTGCGCACGTCGAGTGCACATTATGTTCCAGAACAAAACGAAAAAGTAACGCAATAGTTACTTTTACTGGTAACTAGTTACTTTTATAGTGGAGTAACTCCGTTAGTAACTCAGTTACTTTTTGGGAGAAGTAACTAGTAACTATAACTAATTACTTTTTCAAAGTAACGTGCCCAACACTGGAGGGAGGAGGGGACAACAAACTACCGTCAACAGCCGAATCCCAGAAGTTTCACAGTAATATACAGGGCCGAAAAGAGACGAAAATCACACTTTTCATGCAGTGAGTGTTTTGTCAAGGTGCCAATTGCTAATTTAATAAACATTTCCTCCAATGATAAAACTGAATGGATCTTGTTTGATGAGTATTGTGATGTATTCCATTGATTGCACACCAGCGCACTGAGCCAAAATGCGTCAGCGTCTCACTCTCTCTCTCACTCTCTCTCTTATTTACATCACGCCGTCCAGAGTGTTTGATAATGGGATTTATTTTAACCAATACTATTAAAACTTTGCTCAGCCAAACAGTAAATACAAGGAGAAGACCTCACTAAAAGATCACGAGAGGCAGATCGCTTTCAGAATGTCTTTATTTTCGAATTGGTATAGAATTCTATATAGACAATACATAATTATTTCAAATATATACGTTAATGCAATTTAATTATAAAGATTAACATTAGTACAAAATATGTGTCAATGGAGTATGTTATTGTGTTATTATCATATTAATAAATGTAACGTTAGTCTAGTATTGATCCAGGATCAATAGTAAGCAGAGTGCAAGAATGTATGAAACCATCCCCCCAGCCATGAAACACAGGAAGTTAAATTAAGAAGAGCGCAGAGAACATCTGTTTAGAGTAGCCTCAGGCTTACTTTGAGAGGGGCTACTGTTTGTCCTGAACATAGGAGGTATTGTCCTTACTTAAGGATGTTGGGACATATTTCTTCAATTATCATGTCATGTGACTGTGTGCTTATCATCGATAGTCTGTTTCTGAAGCGCGGTCTTTTGCTTTGGGTTTGCCAGGGAGCAGGGCCCAGACTGGAGCACCAGTCTGCCACATTTGTCTGTAATCCTGTATTCTGTCTTTTTATATATTAAACCTTTTTATATATCTAAGCAGAATTTGTAGTGTCCATTCATCATCGAAGGATAAACCGTGGCTGAACCAGCGTTAACAATATGTATATGTTGTCTCTGCAACATAGAGGCTATCTATCTATCTGGAACACAGTTAATGATATAGTTGAGCTGTCTGATGATCTGAATGACTGACAAAAGCAGTGAAAATAAAGCCACAGCTCCAGTGTCTGAGTGTGAAACCTGTCACTGCCTTTGCCCAAAACCATTGTCGAAAATCAGACGCATAGGCAGGGATCTTTGCACACCAGAGCAACCTGGAAGTTTATTCACAACAGGTTGTAGATTCAGACAGAACAATAAACAGGGAAACATTATATATTGGAATTTGCGTCATCGTGAAAGAGCCAAACCCAGGCGTCAGTCAGCTAAAACAACGGATACACAATCGTAGCAGATATACAATCAAAGAACATTGTGTGTCTTGTACTTCTATTTTATCTTGTTTTTGTACTACTGTGAGATTTCATAACACTTTGAAGCAACTTTTGTTAAAGTTAAACTCATCATTCTATCAATGTGCAGAAGCCAGTACTTTTCCCTTGTTTTGTCTATCTGAAGGCCAAGCTACATGGCACCGTGGCAGCTGCTGATTGGAGGTCTCCATGCCTCCGCTCTGTATAATACACTTGCATTCTGTTGTATCTGTGATCGTGTGCTTTGTTCGTGCTGTCTCTACCATCGACAATAAAACATGTCTTCTGTCTGAATTTAAGACGCGATCCCAGACTTGGCTCATCTTCTTCAGGTGGTGGAGAATGCGGGCCTTGTCTGTAACATCTACAGAACAGAAGACTTTTTTTTTTACACAAAAAGTGTTTTTTTTTTCCAAGCCAAAACTGAGAAACCTCAAGAGAATGCATCTGGATCAGCACACTTGGACAATCTGCACAGCCCCTGATTCCAGTCAGGCCTGCTGTGAGCTGCTGAGACATGGACAACACCATCGTCCTCTTTTGCATGGACATCATTTGGAACCATTGGATTACACAATTTGGACATAATTTGGACTGAATTGGATTTCTGAATCTGGACACTGAAGCTGAAACGTGTGATTCAAAGACACGTCACAGAAGAATTCATGGCTCGACACAAATGCAGCCTGAAGAATCAACACGGAGAAGTGGGAGAGACTGTTTTCAAAGCAATATCTGGAACCATCGACTGATGAAGTTTGGTATTTTACTGAAGATTGTTGACAAGTTTTATGAAAGATCTGAACATGTTTTATGAGTTTTCTGAGTTTTTGAAGTATTCCGAGTTCTGAGTTTTTTGAAGTACCGAGTGAAGTACCGAGTTTAAGTATTGAGTTATGATGTTATTGATGTGTTATTGATCACATAAACACATTCTAATTGGCCTTCATCAAAGTGTAAAAATTAAACACACACAAAAAAAGAAAAAGTAAAGTGAATTTAACTGATTCTTTACTTGCAAACAAAATCACTTTCAGTATGTAATCATTTAACTAATTTAGTTGATAAAATAAATAAATAAAACAAAAACTATTGGACACAGTAGAACTCAGCAGATTCAGTCAAAACACAGACAAAAACGAGCTGAGTCTCAATTTAGAAGCTTATTTCAATATTCCTTACTCTATACTTTTATTCTAATGCTAATTGTTTACACTTCACTTATTTCACTTTATTATTATCACTTTTCAATCTTAGACAATGTACTTTACTTTTACTGATTCACTATAGTTTAAAACTATTCTAATCTATTTACAAATATGTTTGCATATTTGCTTTTACTGAGCCATATTCTTAAACTAATAAATCTCTCTGTGGTATTATAATCTCATTATCAATGGCATATTGTCAGTGGGATTTTGCTCCATGTCTATTCTACATTCTCAGGAATAAAACTGAACACAGTAAGGCAAATGGTCAACATTTACACTTCTATAGTGGTCAGTGATTTATTACTTTTTATTATCTAAAGATATTATTGTCAGGCAGTTTGGGATGAATGTACATCATTAATCAAATTAGTATTATCCTTACAAGAGTTAATCTATTTTTTTGCAGGTTTGGGGTCAGTTATATTACAATGGTGTTTGATTCTCTAATCTGTTCTGACAAATCAACAACTTTTTAAACTTTTCAAAAATATCTAAATATCTACTCTTTTGTTTTGGGCTATACCCAAATACATCAAAATGCTTTTAAGTCTTTGCAAAGTTTGGAGTTCCACCTGTGAGAGAAGGTGTTACAATTCTGGACTCCTCTGGGACAGAAGTGGACGAGGAGGTGTTTGAGGATATTGTTTCCAGTCCTTCAGTTGGGGTGCTGACTATCAAACATGATGGAGGTTTGTTTGATCTGATCTGTTATGTTTTATTGGTATGTGGGTTGATGATCTTGGAGATATTGTGCTTACGCTAAAATATATATATTTCCTTTTTTTTTGTTCATCTATCGCCAGAACCTGTGTCCGTGGTGCCTTCTCCAGACTCTGCGTCCACTGAGAGTTCATCAGACACTATACCCGTGGTGACCACTCCAGAGTCTTGCCGATCACCATCTTTGGATTTGTCAGATTCACAGGAGACTATCATTATCTCAGATACTCCTGCCGGGAAACGGCAGAGACTCGACTCAGACTCTTTCCCCCAACTAGAAAACTTAATAAAGGTAGCATTCACTGTAGTAGCCAATTAACAAAAATATAAATAAAAAGTATTAAATTATGGTATTAAAATGTTACAAAAATAGCTTTAGCTTACAGTAATACCAAAGACAACCTTCCCAGAACAAGCTTTGAAAAGATGCCATTTACATGTCAACATTATTTGTTATAAATAATCTTTTATTAAACACATCCTGCTTCCTGCTTCTCGAGAGAGCGGTCGTGTCTCTCTGCTCTGCTTTTGCTTCGCCTTTTAATCTCCCTGAATCATTTTATTTACATTTTTTGTTTCTCCTTTAATCATTTTATTTACAAAACGAGGATTACTCCTTCTACACACTTCAGCTTTGTGGAATTTATCAACATTAGTCATGTCGGGACGGAAGAGACGGAGAAGCGTCTGCGGTGGCTGTTGTGCTTTGGAAAATCAGCTTAAATCTCTTCAAACACGGATATCTATTGTGGAAACAGAAATGGGACTTAACCCGACTCTTCCAATGAGTGAAAATGGGATGAATGGACAGACTGGAAATGTAAGTTATGACGTCATTTCTTTTCCCAAAATCAACAATGAGAATTATTGGAACAATTGTGGAGCCAAACCCAAAGTTGACAAAGCTAAGAATGACAATAGGAGTGAAATAAGGCCACAACTAAATGTTCTGAAGACTTCAAACCGCTTTTTACCCCTTTCTGAAACAACAAAGCTGCTAAAAACTGCAGCGCCTCCACCAAGGACAAACTGTATCCTTATCGGAGATGGCTCGGTGAAAAATGTAAACATGGAGTCCATGCTCACTGTCTCAGTTCCCTCTGCTAAAGTTGCTGAGATAAGAACTCTTCTGCCTAAAGTGTTATCTGAGAACAGTGGTGTGCGTACAAGTGTGTAAATTTGAGACCGCGCTCACAGCTACGTGATAAGAAGCGCAGAAGAAGAAAACTACGGGTGCTTGGAGGGACAGTTTCAGCCGCGGCGCCGCGTCTGGATTCAACAAAACTGAATCGTGGCGCCCGGTCCAGCGTCGCCGCGCGTCACTGCAAACTTGGTGTGCGTTCTCTCATAGAAAATAAAGGAGGCGGCTCTTTTGCCGCGCGTCAAGGCGTTTCGGTGTGCGTTGGGCTTCAGTCATTCAGTCAACTTCACTTCTTGGTGGAGACCAGGAAAGACCCAGGACATGTGTCTCTCAGCTGGCCTGGCAACGCCTCAGGATTCCTCCTGATGAGCTGGAGGAAGTGTGTGGAGTGGGACGTCTGGGCATCTGCTCTGACCCTAACGGGAAAAAAAGGAAGAACATATTATATTTTGTATGTTTTTCTCATTAATTGACCACTGTGTATGCAGTGAAAGAATGACCTGTGAAGCATCTTGAGTGCCCAAAAACTCTACACAAAACCGATTAATAATAATAATAGGGCTCGAATATGTATATTGTTTTAGCACTAGTTTTCAACTATTTAAATAATTAACATTTAGTCTTGTGACAGTGCCAGAGTCTAGATATGAAGTTGTAAATGATTGTTTACTAAAATAGTTGATTTTTGAAATTGGTCAATCATTTTTAAAATAGTTGTAATAAGAAAATGATCATTAAATGGTTTATTGAATCTTCGATAGTCTTTAACATGTGAGGAGAGGCTTAGTCTCAGCTAACTCCATATTGACTGCAAGCAGGAGTCATCACTTGGGTCAAATGGAGAATGGGTAAAACTCTTTTTGTTATAACAGCCTTAGTTTCCATTATTCGTTGTCACACAAATAGTAAACTAATACTCAGATCTATGTCTCACTGACTGCAGGAGAACATGGACCAGTGGACTCACTCCTTCACTGTATCCAACAGATCAGTGAGTGGATGCAAAACAACTTCCTTCAGCTGAAAGCGGACAAAACTGAAATGATTGTCTTTGGTCCCCAGAAACAAAGAGCGTCATCTGTCACCTCCAGTCTCTCTCCCTAAAACCTTCAAACCCGGTCAGAAATCTAGGGGTAATACTGGACTCAGACTTAAATATTAATAGCCACATTAAATCAGTAACATCAGCAGCTTTTTACCATCTAAAAAACATTGCCAGCGCAGCAGATGTGCGTAACTTTTTCCCATGTTAACCTTCCTCTACACTGCTCCATAGACTACACAAGGACAGCATCAGAAGCCGCGGACCTGCACGCACGGCCAGTGTAGATACTGCAAAAAAAATTACGCGCAGTCAACGCTTACGCGCTGTTAACGCCTACTGTGTAAATTCCCTGTGATGAGGGGCATGGACACAGCAGGTCTTTGCTCCTCCGCTGAAACCATCTATATCCAGACACGAACTACAGTTTGTGTCTGGATGCACTTATAATTTTGCTCACCTTCTGCAGCTGTGATGATTGGGGTTCTTCAGGAACATGCACATGTGTCATGTCTGGACTTTGCCCCTGTTCTGACTAAGGCCATGTCTGAGACTCCAGTCCTGAAGGAGAAGATAGAGAAGTTAGCACTTTATTGATCACACAGTGGCAGAATTTCACCTGACAGCTGTTGGTTAACTCGTTGCCTGCCATTGACGCACTAATACGGCAATTGCGTTTCTCTATTTTCATGTTCCCAGATGTCTATTATATCTAATATGTATGGGGATTCGCTTGAGAGCATTTTTTAATCAAGCCAACCGGTGGCAGTAGTGCTCTGGATTGTTTAAAAACAGCTAGATGCACTTATTGTGCCTCGTTTTTCTCAGCTTTTTGGTGATTTCAGTAAAACTTCCCTCTACTCGACTGGGGATTACAGGAGAACGAAACAAGCTAGAAACACAATTCTTTTTGCTGCTGAAGTACAGTCCATTCTTTCAGAATCTGGTTTCGGATTCCAGTCATAGTACACAATATTCTGTGGGTCTTAAAAAATCTATAAACTCATCAGAAACTGCTGGCAATATGGGAGTACCTGTTCTGAGATAGTAAGTTTTAGTAAGTAAGTTTTTATTTATATACCGCCTTTTCACTACAGATCTGAGTCTCAAAGCGGTTTACAATTGTTAATTTTGGGCATTTGTCTCTCACTCCACACAGAGATGGGAGCGGGATCGCCAGTACAGGAGGCGCATGCCAGAACTATTGGACATATTTTTAGTGGTAGGGGAAACCGGAGTACCCGGAGGAAACCTACGCAGACACGGGGAGAACATGCAAACTCCACTCAGAAAGGCCCCGGTCCGACCGGGATTTGAACCCAGGACCTTCTTGCTGAGAGGCGAGAGTGCTATCCACTCAGCCACCGTGCTGAGATGAGATAGACACTCATTGCCTACCAGCCTATTATTGTATTTCCATTCAAAAACAAGAAAGGAGCCTGCATGCTGTCCTACTTGAATGGCTTTAAAAATGTATAATTTGTAAATACATTCGACAATGCAAGTAAGGCAGTGTAGGATCTTGTGAGAGGCTCATACACTTTTGAATGAACTCAATAAGCAGAGCCTTTATTTGAAGAATATCTTGTACAGTTATATGTCTAATCAAACATACCTGACCTATGGTCCCATGGACGGTGGTTGCTTGGGCTTTGTATGCAGTCATTTCAAAGTATTTACCCTTTTCTCAAACATTAATTGTGATTGATGTCCACCTCGTTTCTTTGTTCCTTAAAAATAACAAAACACAGTTTAATCTTCATGTCCTATTATTGTTAATTCAACAAAGGTGAAAGTATTATAGTAGCAGAGTTTTTTATCCACATAACAAATACGAAATCTGTAATATTGCTTCACTAAAACTTACACTCAAAGTAATACAAGAGACATGTGTCAATGTTATGTTTTCTTACATCACGAGCTGGAGCCTGTGTGCTACCAACCTTTCTGTCCATGTCGTGCTCAAGAATAATTGTTACAGAAAATGGGGCAATGCATTTTCGCTCATAAACAAACAATCATTTGACGTTGAGAAAAATAAGTTCTATTAATATTGAAAATGATCAATTTAGATCCATCATTTCACATCAAATTTAACTTTACCTCGCGTCAGACAGTACAGTATGTTAAATCCGAATGGCCAGTGTAGTTGAAGCTAACATGACGTAATGCGGACTGAGGCTGTTCTGAACATTTTCCAGAACTATTTTCAAACCAAAGCTAACAACAGACCGTCGCCTAAGCGTCCGAGCGCGTAGTAGCATCAAAACTGCCTTCAAACGCGGATTACTCTATGAAATCTTAATATAAACAGACAAAACTTACAACGGAGGAAGATACACATGTGTAGAAAGTACCCACCAAACGTTAGCCGCGAGCGCTAAAGCTAACAGCGGCAGTAAGGACGAGTTCCACAAAAAGGTGGGGGTGTCCGACTCAGGATAATAGGCACCTGAAAGTGTCCGACTCAGGGTGCACTCCATGGATCTATTATATTATACTCCCGTTAGTGTTGGGCAAGTTAGCTAACTCTACTTGATATCATAAAACATGCTAACAAGGCTAATATTCGTTTTTACATTATGCCAGTCTCACTTTGGTTGCCTTAGATTTATTTACCACAATGTACATTGTAATATCCATAAATGCTAATCAAAATAAAAGTAAAATATTTAATTCAAGTTATGAACAAAAAGCTGCAGAAGTTGAAAACATAGATATAAACCGTTAATAGGTGTTAGCATTTTTGAATATTACAATGTACATTGTGGTAAATAAATCTAAGGCAACCAAAGTGAGACTGGCATAATGTGAAAACGAATATTAGCCTTGTTAGCATGTTTTATGATATCAAGTAGAGTTAGCTAACTTGGCCAACACTAATTAGCTTGAATCTCACAAATAAGGCTAAAAGGTTAAGAGTTGTGCACTATTATGTACAAAACGGATGAAAATATGTTTATACCTTGTTTATACCTCTTTTCTTTTTTACACAAACTCTATAAATCAATCATTCTAATCACTTTTAACACTGATTCTAATGTAAATGTTTTGAAAAACGGCTTTTGTAACTAAAATAAAAATACATATAAAAATTCTAACGGTTATGAAATATATCAGCGATACAATAATGGACTCAAAGCAGCAGATTTAAAAAGAAAAGCAAAGTTTTAGTTCTAATCTTTGGATTTCAAAAACAAAATAATTCACAACTTATTCACTAATGGTGTTTAAAAACATTTAATTGCGTCATAACACAATGTTCGATCAAAAATTTCCCAAATTTAACGGAATAAAACCATAAAAAGCCGAAATTCTAAAGACGGTATCTACTTTAGTACAGTGGTTCCCAAAGTGGGGGTCCCGACCCCCCGGGGGGTCGCGGGAACCCCTGGGGGGGTCGCAAGATGATTTCCACACGAACAAAAAAAAAAAAAATTTTTTTTTTGAGCAAATATAAAGCCCTTAAATATTTATTTAGCATTTGATTTGATTCAAAAGGACTACTTGTTAAATTGTGTTTGGAGACTATAATATATTTTAATAACGTTAGTAATTTTGTCCCAGTCATTGCAGCGTCAATCAAAATCATCACGTAACACAGCTCACGTCATGCGCAGCGACAAAGCGTGTCCTGCTGTTGTTTGCTAAAACTAAAGGTGTTTGGAGGCTACAAATAAATAATACCTTCTTTAAAATGAAACGTGGTTAATATCCACAACATCCGGAGGGGGAGAAAAGTCACTTGTATCAGGGGTCAGGCTGATGGTGCGAAGAGAGGGAGAGAGGGCAGAGGAGGGAGAGAGGGCAGAGGAGGGAGAGAGGGCAGAGGAGGGAGAGAGGGCAGAGGAGGGAGAGAGGGCAGAGGAGGGAGAGAGGGCAGAGGAGGGAGAGAGGGCAGCGGAGGGAGGGAGGACAGCGGTAGAACAGCGCGTTAAAGAGGCCCGGCTTTTCGGAGTCAAAGGTAAAGAGGTCCGCACATTAAAAGCGGGTGGCCGGTTTATGCCTTTACTGACAGTAACTTTGGAAAGAGAAGCCGCGGGGATGAACTGCATAAAGTAACAGCAGAAAGCGGCCGCCCGCTTTTAATGTGCGGACCTCTTTACCGCTGACTCCGGAAAGCCGGCCCACTTTACCGCGGTAGGAGAACAGTGAGGGCGAGCCGCAAGAAATGCGCTCCACTTCTGCTGAGGAGGGAGCCCACCAAGCCCATCACTGTGTCACTACATGAGTAAAAATATGCAAGCCTCCTTTTTTGGGCTGGACAGTGCAGCTCGGTAGTGGCGTGAGTCTCTAGACTCACTAGTCTCTCTGGTCTTCCCAAAAAGAACATTTCAGGTTTACAATTACTCCAAAACTCGGCCGCACGTGTCCTGACTAAGACCAGGGGGCGGGACCACATTACACCGGTTTTAAAATCGCTGCATTGGCTCCCCGTGTGTTTCAGGATCGATTTTAAGGTTCTTTTAATGGTTTTTAAATGTCTTAATGGTCTTGGGCCTTCTTATCTTTCAGATTTGCTTTTATCCTATGAACCTTCCCGGCCCCTGCGCTCCTCCGGCAGCAGACTTCTAACCATCCCCAAAGTCAGGACACACACTCACGGTGAGGCATCTTTCCAGCACTACGGCCCCCGTCTCTGGAACAGTCTGCCGGAGGAGCTCAGGGCCGCAGAGAACGTTCATATTTTTAAAAGCAGGCTCAAGACGCACCTTTTTAGATTAGCTTTTGATTAGTTTTTACTATTTCATTTTATATATTCTATTTATCCTCTATTATTTATTGTATTGCTATTGCTTTTATTCATGTATTGTGTGTTAGTTCATTTTAGTTTCACAGTTTTGTGTTTTACATATTGTATTGTTATTATATTGTTTTTAGTGTACCCAGTGTTTCCTCTGGAGGAGCCCTCTGCACTGGGAGCAGTGGTCGGTGTGGCTGTGGGGGTCGGACTCTTGGACCTGGTGGGGGCCTGGGGCCTCGGTTTCGGGTCTCCTCTAGATCCTGTGTCGTCCCCTGTGGCTACAGGCGGCTCTCTGCTCCTGGTGCAGACGGCTCCTAGGATGACGCTTTTTCAACTGGTTGCATCCGAACCCTGCCAAGTCTCTCATCATTGTTTTACTGTTTTACTTGTGTGTGTGTGTGTGTGTGTGTGTGTGTGTGTGTGTGTGTGTGTGTCAGAGAGTGTGCATGGGAGCGTGTGTGCGTTTGTCTGTGGTTTGGGGTGGGTCTGTTGGGTGGTCGGGGGGAGGGGACATGGGCCGGCGGGATTGTTTTTAACCAAACTGTAAAGCACTTTGTGTTGCATCTTTTGTATGAAAAGCGCTTCATAAATAAAATTTGATTGATTGATTGATTGATAGAAAGCGTTACTCCGTATCAAGGAAATACATGCTCATTTCATGTGACGGAAGGGATGTTGGGGGGGGGGGTCGCGGATTAACAGGGCATTTATTATGGGGGTCGCGGGCTAAAAACTTTGGGAACCCCTGCTTTAGTACAGAGCAGAAGAGCAGAAAGAAAGCAGAGCCGGCGCGAGGGTGGGGGCGGTTACCCTGGCAACGCAGCATGAGAGAGAGACGCACACACAGACATACAGCAGTATGAATTCCTTAAAAGTAATCTTGAAAGTTAAACTGATAAGTGTTATATAACATAAAACCAAACAAATTCCTTTAATTCACAAGAAGTTATACTAAAGACCAAATATATGCAATTTACACTCAATTTCAAGAATATGTCTGATGCTGATCAGCAGTAATAATAACAGCAGTAATAACAGCAGTAACAACATCAGTAGCCGCAGCAGTAGAATCCTGGACGTCTTCCTGACACTGCTGTCTCTTCTTCAGTGTCGCTTCAATCTGAAGAGACCAAGACAGAAACATTAATGCATGAAAAAGATTGATTGATTGGCGCATTGACCCCGACAGTGACACTTACAGAGGGGGAGATGGTCAGCTGCTGTAGATGATCTCAGACCCCCCGGGGTCAAGCACTGGTGGTGGCTAGAAGCATGGTGTGAATGGGGCATAGGCGGAGGGGGAGCAGGAGCCAGAGCAGGAGCCAGAGCAGGAGCCAGAGCAGGAGCCAGAGCAGGAGCCAGAGCCGGAACCAGGAGCGGAGGAGGCGCTGGGGAGGTGGTGGGTATTAAAAGCTTCAGGAAGGACCGTTTATCGGGGAGTGGCCGCTTTGCTGTCAGACTTTTTGTTTGAATTACAACCACAAATCACTAACTGCTAACAGACTGTGCCATACTCAACGTAATAATTATATGACAAGAACTTCTTCTAAATTACTAAATAATTTGGGGCTCAATGTTCAAATATCCTTAATATGCAGTTCTGAAACTGCCAACTGGTGTTGCATAGCCACAGCATTCTTAGAACATATATTTAGTAAATTATACTGCAACTAGGGATGTAAATCGGCAACCGTTTAACCGGTGGTTGACCGTCACAGCGTTAACCGGTCAAAGCTGTCGGTTAAAAAAAGAGAAAAAGGGGAGGTCTCTTAATAACGCTATTTTAAGCCCTATTTGCACGGTGTGACGAGCGGGTCTGTATCTAGCTGTATGCGCACTTTCCCCCTCTCCATACGTAACATCCACACGCATCATCTCTCCCCTCTGTTACCGTCAAAGTTGCACACTGGCGCGGGTCAGAACTACATTGGAGCTTACATTTACACACACACACATACCGGTCTGTCGCGCTCCTCTGTGTCACGGAGCCCAAAGGATTCGCGCAAATACACGGCTCCAGTCAAACCGCATGGAACATGTTTGTGTTTATGGTCCTCGGGATCAGCTCCACACACATCACTTGTATTTAAACTTTTGTGAAGACCTGTGAGACGCGGCTCGTCACTCGCTGCTCTGACCATGTGGACGAGCCGTCGTTTGCTGCTAGAAAGTTTTGGTATTAACCCGCAGCACAGCAGAATGGGAAGATTAAAAAAGCAGTTCTCTGTGCGCAAAGGTGCCGGAGCTGTTGCGGGTTTGGGCGCCGCTGTCTCAACTCTGATCCAGTAGAACGCAGAGCTGCACTTATGAAAAGTACGTGGCTCGAAATGGCTGTTATTTCAAAGAACGTGGACTATTTTAAACTACGCAGTTAACCGGTTTCAACCGGTTAATGAGGCTCGGTGGTCGGTCATGAAAATTCATAGTTTTTTACATCCCTAATTGCAACGTCTCATGAGTGAAATCATTCATTCAGTTCTCAATCTTATACTTTTATATTTTACTATATTCTATTTGTTCTGTTTTGAAACTAATGTCTGAAGAGGTTAAACATGTTTTTAGAGATAAATTAAAACATGTGAAAAACATGATACATTTTCCACTTGCACCATTTATTCAAACCATAGATCTTGTCCCATTCCCTCTGAGAGTAGAATTCCCTCACTTCCTCAGAGTGGACTTTTCAGCATTTTCAATATTTTTACTATGTCAGATAACGTTGGTTGGAAAATTATGCCTAAAAACGGTCGAAGAGGACGATCACTTTGATGTAGTCCTGTCGGATCAGGCTGTCCAGAGCGACCCAGTTTCTGGGGCGTCTCAAGCAGAGGTCCCTTTACACCTTCTTGGACACCTCTTTGATGTGGACAGTGTCCGCTTTGACTTTGATGTTCCAGTCTTTCATCTCCTGATGCAGCTTCTGCAGCAGAGCCGCAAACAGATCCTTCATATCCACAAACTTGTTGGTCTGCAGGTGGCTAGCGTTCTTACGGACTCCAACTGCAAGAAGGTAGGGTTGATTGCTGGTGGTAATCTCATCAAGGTGCTCTTGAATACTAGTTCCAGTCTGTAAAAGAGACACATTGACATGAATATCTAAGCAGCAATACTCTGAACTATCAAAAAGTTCCTAAAGGAGGAATATGAACCTTTTTAAAGACAACAAGGTGTTTCTCTGCTTGGGTGGCCGACACCTTGCCAGGCTTCTTCCGACCTTGTGCAGTTGGGGGAATCAGGTGTGACAGCACTAGAATTGACGAGAGATCACTGTCCCAACCTGTTAACAGATTTTTATAACGTTTATCTTTGTAGAACACCTTTGTAAGTGTAGCTTGAATTTAAAAAACAAAAAAAACCAAAACACCATTATCTCTTATATTATTTGAGCACACTTAAAAATTCATCGGCGAATCAAATGTATGCAAATCAATGTCTTAGAGAAAACATTTTGGGCATACATTCCCCAAAATCTCAGCATTGTGCGTGACATTCAAATGTATTTGAGACAGGCTGGTTTAGTATTCTCAAAACTTGATATGGATACCCATGTATATCCTGCCTGGACTCGTATTAGTCTCAGCTAAAGCTAAACTAAAGAGGAAAAGGAAGTCATAACAATAAATCATTGAGGGGAACAATTAAACGGTATTGAATAACAGAACAAATGCATATTATTGCAAAACTCTGCTCACTTGCAGCATTTAATATATAGTGTTTGATAGATAATGAATAGGTTAGACAGTGATAGATATCTTCAATAGTGCAATGCAATTACACAACTTACCAGCATCAACTTCAGTGACATCCTCAGGGGGATCTGCAGCCAGGAGAAGTTCTTCAATTTCACTTGTTGATGGAAGCTTCCGGCACTGTTGGATAACCTTTTTCTTAAATGTTGTCGGCCACCGCTCCAGAAGCTTTCCAGATGCCCCCTCTCCAAACATCAGAACAAAATCCTGTTCAATCTGTAGGGGAATATACATCAATATAATTAGCAAATTGGTATTTTTGTTCTCAAATCAGAGTATTTTACAATTGTGAAATGATGAAGTTACCAAGCCTTTCACATCTTTAAACCTCGGAAACTCCGACAACACATTGCTGGACAGTAGAGGGTCCAGAACCATGTTACGCCGCTGGGTAAATGTAAGCTTCATTTTCTTTTTCACCAAGTCTCCATCAGTAGTATGTTTCATGAGTGAAATTGCCTCCTTACACTCATCCTCACTCAGGTTTTTCTCTGGAAGGTACTGGAGCTCACGTCTGGCTGTCGGTCCTCCCTCAGTAGTTTTTCCAGGTCTTCCTTCTGAGAAATGTAATGAAGAAAACCACAAAGACACATTTACTGCTCAAACTGCCTCCAAATGAAGCCTTTCCCTGACTCTATTCCTCATGCCTAGCATTGCCTCTGTTGCTCCTGCATATGGCACTCACACAAACCTTTGACTATGACACCCAGAGCGCTGCTGCCACCTGCTGGCTCAAAAAAACACTCTGCAATCAACCCCCATCACAAATGATACAAAGGAAATTTGTGAAAACAACCAATTGATGTATTAATGTGTCAATGAGTTAAGCCTTAATTAAAACTGATCTGGATATTGGAATAGTCGAATACTACAATATTCTATAGCTGCCGCTTTATTGCACATTTTTGAATCCATCAAGTTACCTTCAAACGATGCTCGTCTGTCTCTAGCTGTGCTCCTTTGGATGGTTTTAATCCTCCAGGCCAGGTATCCAGATCCACTTTGACTGTCATAATAATGCTCCTTGAAAGACAATGAAATTCCAATGAACATTCACTCATAACATTTATTAATAGGATACAGAAGAGAACCATTACTCAATGCTACTTACATAGCCATTCTTTGAGAAAGGGTCACTGAGGGAAGGGAATAAGGTCACAATTCCTCTGGCATACATCTCTTTCACCTGCCTGGTAGGTGATGACCTAATAGAGGGAATCGTTTCACAGAATATGCAGTTTAGGTTTGAGTACATATACATCAAAACTCAATACACTGAGAGCACACAAGCTTAAAACCAGAGTCAGACAATCCAGGGGCAAGAAATCCAATATCCAGTTATATGAAGATGTTCTAGCCAAAGAGTTTTACTATATGGCAAACATTTGTGGTAAAACAGGACAGAACTTTGATTTCCTCAAATCTGGATTACCCTCTTCTACTAATAATGTTCTATTTACCCATTTTTCTCTGTCATGTCCGCTACAAGCATATTAACAATCTTCCTTCTGGATTCATCTGTCAAGGACTTGGTGCGATTGTACTCATTCATTATGCGGTCTCCACCTGGTTTCCTTGCAAGGATGGACTCGACACACTTCAAGCAAAGCACAACAACTCTGATTAATCGGAATGCATTTGTTGATAAAAAAAAAAAAATATTGAAACAGTATATTCAGAAAACAGGGTAGTCACATGACAAGAATATTATTTAGCATAGAGAATCTGAGATGTGCTGAAGACTAAAAGGCAGCGGTCAGACTATCACTAATGCAAAGTCTGAGAAAATAATGCAAAACTGGATTGAAATAAATTGTGTAATATTGCAGCTTATCAAAATAATGCCTAATGAATGTGTGCTGTATTTTATTATAATGCTGCGTTCAGACCAAACGCGATTTCTGCGGCCAAATCGCGTCTATCGCGCGGCTTGGGCCGCTTGTGACAAATTGTGGCAGCCGCTGTCACAGGGAAACTTGGCCGCACGGCCAGGACACTAGAGGGCAGCCGCTGTCACAGAGCGTTGAGAGCGTTTAGGGGCGGGGCTTGTCTCTTTTGCCTGTAGTTTCCCAACATGGATGTCAGCGAAGGAGTTGCTTGGCTCTATCTGATAAATAAAGCCAGACAACGTCGTCAAAGGGCGAATCGACGACGTGTCTGGATTCATCAGATAGTCCGTAGACTGTTGGAGTTTGGTGAGTTTCACCATTTGCTCCGGGAGCTGCGCTCGGATGAGGGTCGCTTTCAGCGGTACTTTCGTCTCTCCCTGGCCCAGTTTGACGACCTACTGACCCTCATTGGTGCTAGGATCTCCTACCAGGACACCAACTACAGGCGCTCTATTCCAGCTGAAGAGCGCCTGTCCATCTGTCTGTGGTTAGTGTTTTTTACCCCATTCGGAATTCCAAAATACTTACAAAGTGTGTCATTTTTCAATCACAATCCACAATGTAATAGCTCAGAAAACAGTATTATGCAACAATATGGTGTCTATGATTACTGTCTATGATGTTTACAGTCTACTAGTTTAACGTATTTTATGCTACACAAGTTTTGTCACGTGATTTTTATGAATGTAATTGTGATAAATATGTTCATATCATTTTGTAATTGCAGGTTTCTTGCCACTGGGGACTCCTACAGGACCATTGCGGGGAGCTTCAGAGTGGGCATATCCACCGTCTCCATGCTCGTCCCAGATGTGGTGGCAGCCATCTGGGACTGCCTCGTGGAGGAGTTCATGGCTGTGCCTGGAGCAGAGGAGTGGAGGTCCATAGCGCAGGACTTTGAGGTCCGATGGAACTTCCCTCTGTGCTGTGGGGCCATTGATGGGAAGCATGTGGCTGTGAAGGCACCCCCCAACTCTGGGTCCATGTTTTTTAATTACAAGGGGCACCATTCCCTTGTGCTCCTGGCTGTAGTGGATGCCCAGTACAGTTTCAGGGTGATTGATGTGGGAGGGTACGGCAGATCCAGCGATGGAGGCATCATGGCCAACTCTGCCTTTGGTGAGGCTCTGCGCGAGGGCACACTCGACCTGCCTCCTGACCAGTGCATACCTGGAGCTGACCACAGAGGACCCCAGCCCCATGTGTTCGTGGCAGATGAGGCCTTTCCACTGCGCCGCAATTTAATGCGCCCTTTCCCTGGACGTGGTGGCCTTACCCCAGAGCAGCGCACCTTCAACTACCGCCTCTCCCGGGCCCTGTTAGTGGTGGAGGATGCATTTGGGATTTGGTCTGCGCAGTGGAGAGTGTTTTGCCGTCACCTGGAAGTCTCCCCAGAAGTTGTGGAGAAGTGTGTGAAGGCCACTTGTGTCCTTCACAACTTCATGAGGATGGCTGGAGATGGGCAGGTTCCTGCACCGAGGGGAGCTGCTGCCCGTGAAGAACCACTTCCAGGCGTGCAGCGGATGGGCGCCAACAACGCGACCAGAGAAGCAGTGGACATAAGGAAAGTGTTCATGGCCCACTTCAGTGAGGAGGGAGCACTGCCGTGGCAGCCCACAGAGTAGTCATGTCCACCACAAGACTGACCCACAACGGCTCTTTTCAGAGCCACCCACAAAATACAAAGAGCCTAACTTCATTCCTGACATATAATGTGCTGAGCCTCTTGAATATGAAATTCTTTACATTTTTTCTGGCCATAGTCCAAACCCATATTGATTTGCACTGTTCTATTCACCTGTATACCTTCTGTTTCTAGGTAATGACTGCCAGACTCCACTGCGACTCCACTCAAACTTCAGGTTAATCATTTGCACATTCAAGCTTTTCCGTAATTACAAGGTTGTTAAAACAGTAAAAGGTGAAATGAATAAAAAATACTGTCAACTACTGTATCGCTCTTTAAGTGTTCGTTATTCCATCTTCTATAAAACCCAGTCAGCTCTTATAAAAGTAAATGTACAAATATAGAATAGCATTTTCTGTCAGTATTATATGAAAGGTAGTAATGGTTGGCTTGAAGTAGAACACATGAGGTTTGAAAAATATTTTCTTTATAAAAAAAGGAACAAACAATGAAAAATAAATAAAATGTACATATAAACAAATGAAAAGGAGCTTGCTTGGAGGAAGTGCGGTGGAAGAGGAAAGGGACACATGTCTGTTCGATTGTTTCCTCTCCTGCAAAAGGTGTCACCTTAGGTCAAAAAACTGTCTGTACTGGCCAATGGTTCCAAATTAAGCAGAACGGTGCTGCTTTCTTATAAAAGTTGGTACATTTTGAATTTCACAAATTCGTTTGACTCTGGTGCCACCCTTTGTAGGAGAGGAACGAGAGAGAGCAGGAACTGATGTTCTTCTGAGTAGTCGGGCGGTGCAGCTGCTTTGGTCCGTAGAGTCTCCAGCAGCTCCCGCTCCCACTCTGTTGGCGGCTCTACGGACGTGGGCCTCTTCTGAGCCCTCTTGCTTGGTGGGCCTTCAAAGAACACAGGGCAATCACAGTGTTAAAAAGTGGAACATGTATTTCAAAAAAGCAAAATGAAGAGAGCAAATAATATCTGTATTAAAGCCAGAGTGTGTAGACATAGTTAAACACATGTAAAACACTTTTAAGTTGTGTGTTTGTGTTACAATTAACTTGAACATTGCACTTATCAATGAAATTACTCACACAAGCACAAATTTCGACAGTTACAAACTAATATCTCTGAAGTGTATTTCGCAATGAAATTTGAAATTGGCTGTTAAAAAAGTAATACTCTATTGTCTGCATTAAACAGGATAACTGCCATCTTGTGGCAACACATTGCATGTATTTGTTCAGTACTTTTATAGCATAAGGTATTTCAGTAGTATGTTTTTATCGAAGAAAGAGGGAAGATGTGTTGTATCAGACCAAAGCTTCTTTCCACCTGTAGTGCCTTGACATCTTGTTGTTTCTCTGTAAATTTGTCGTCTACACTGATGTAACAGCCCTTGGGTAATTTTGGCATATTATGCAGTAACATTTTGTTTATATGAACAGTCCTGTAATAAGAATAAAAATAAAACAATGATTAAAAAAAGCCACACCTGTAGGTGCAGAAGCAGGGGATGGTCCAGCCCTCACAGAAGAAGAACCGGCTGAGGAAGAAGAAGCAGCAGCAGCAGCAGCAGCAGCAGGCAGCTCAGGCCAAGATGTCTCACCTTGTGTGGTGGTGGCAGTATCTGCGCCAGAAGAAAACAAGAAATACAATTATTTCATATCATGTGTACATTGCGCTTATGACATTTATTATGTACATAATAATGTACATTATTATGTACATTTAAATGATTTGTTCATATGAAAGGGAAAAGTGACATTTAACACAACACATGATCAAGATCTATCCTGGTTTGAAAATAGCCAATGCCTATTTTCACCTGGCCATGATGTTAAGAAAGCATTAAAATAAATGCATACACAGAAAGCAATATAAATGTAAAAGTCAGCAAAATGTGGGTAATAGAAAGGAAAGAAATGTATTTTTTCCAACTGTTGGAGGTCTCTGTTTGCTGCATGACACCGACCTTCAGCACCTGACAGCCCTGCTGCTGCTGCTTCCTCTGGCTCTTCTTCTGGGTGGTTGTACCCTGTGGTCTGCTCCTCCTCGGCCCTTCGCCTTGGCATGTTCCCGGAGCTGTCACGGGGAGTGATGTAGGGCTCGAGGAAGGACATGACCACAAGGTACTTCCACGTCTGGCCTTTCCCTGCTTCTGCACCACTCTTCTTCACCTTCTCCTTCTCCTTCCTGCTCTCCTTAGCATATGTGTCCCTCAGATTCTTCCACCGCTTTTTGCAAACTTCCACTGAATACACACATCAACTCGTAAGCGGGAGAGTAGTAGTTTTTTTCGCGGGGAAATATTTACAACTGTGAAAAGTTAAAATAACTTACCCGAGACACCAACCACCTCGCTAACCCTCCTCCAAGCAAGCTCCTTTTTATTTCGGTCCCGGTAGCTGTGGTCCGCAGTGTTATATAGCTCAGAATGAGCACCGACCTGAGCTATTAATGTGTCCTCCATAGCTGTCATCTACTAGTGTTTTCCCGGTAGTGAAATGCGTCACTACGTCACTGGAGGAGAAAGCTCCTGATTGGTCGGCACACGCAAATTCTCCCAAAAAGTTCAACATTGTTCAACTCTAGCGGCGGCCGCGTTGGAAGCGCAAATCGCGCGACACGCGCGTCAAAACGCTTGACATCTCAAAACGCTTGACATCTCAAATCTCGCCGCGCGAATCGCGCAAAACGCTCAAATTCGCGCCGCTCTGGCTGCGCGAATCGCGCCGCGTGATCTCTCGCCGCTCCTTGGCGCGCGTCCCCCATGTTGTGTCAATGTAGACCCGCCGCTTTGGCCGCAGAAATCGCGTTTGGTCTGAACGCACCATTAGTGTATAACTTTGTTTGGGGCCAGGCACTGTATGTTAGAATAATACATAGACAATTATGTAAGAACTTACTTGTTTAGACTCTGAGTCGAGTCTCTGCCGTTTCCCGGCAGGAGTATCTGAGATAATGATAGTCTCCTGTGAATCTGACAAATCCAAAGATGGTGATCGGCAAGACTCTGGAGTGGTCACCACGGGTATAGTGTCTGATGAACTCTCAGTGGACGCAGAGTCTGGAGAAGGCACCACGGACACAGGTTCTGGCGATAGATGAACAAAACAAAAGGAAATATATATATTTTAGCGTAAACACAATATCTCCAAGATCATCAACCCACATACCAATAAAACAGATAACAGATCAGATCAAACAAACCTCCATCATGTTTGATAGTCAGCACCCCAACTGAAGGACTGGAAACAATATCCTCAAACACCTCCTCGTCCACTTCTGTCCCAGAGGAGTCCAGAATTGTAACTCCAAACTTTGCAAAGACTTAAGATACATGCACAAAAAACACTATTAATCAAACATCAAATCGAAATAGCCGTTTAGCCCAGTTACCTGTGCATTGAATGCGACATTTTTATCAATGTAGTAATTTACACCGTGCTCAGAGCCACGTACAGCCGGTCAGAGCTCCACTATTTACAGCCCAAAAAGTTTAAATGATTATTAGGCTACTAAAAAACGACATAGCGTTCCATGCATGGAATGAAAATAAATGATGGAACTAGCCCTTGACAATGGAATTGACAAAAAAGAAACATTAAAGTATTTAAAAAAACTGCATTGGAAACTATAAGTTATCTTTGGATGTCAAATTACTAACCTGCATTCAGGAAGTCGGTCAGATTTGGCTCTGCCAACTTAATAAACTTCTGAGAATCTCCCAGCCTCACTTTGAGGAGCATGTTTCCTGCAGAGACAAAAATATGTGAGTCAATGTGTAATACACAAAACATAACTATCAAATCTGTTAAAGTTGACAAGTATAGAAAAGACCATGACCATAATTATACAATGGGCTTATGGCTTTCATACAGGCACCTACATTAATAAAAAGTTAAAATATACCCCAATATTCACGCACACTGCATCATCTGCATGCTTTTCGAACGTGTGTACTCCAACTCGTCGTGATCTTTAGCATTAACAACGCCACGTGACATCACATACCATATAATCCCATGGACCCGCGAAACAAGCAAGCAGTACAACAGCAGATGTTAGCATGTTAGCGATCCTCAGAGCTCATGCTAGCTCTGAGGATCGCTCCGACAGTGCGGGAACTCACCTGCCCATTGCTACATAACACCGTCATGCACATGTGAACAATGTGTAACTTTCTTCACACAGGCTTTCCCACATTAATGCTTGGAATATTAACTACACTATCCACAAGTTCCAGCATAACATCCTGCTACAAGCTTAATGCAAAATATACAGAATTTTCTCCAAAAGTATCGCCAGTTCGTCAGCAGCGTGATTTTTTTTATCTTACCGTGGCGTGGTAGTAACGTTAAGGCAGGACGCGGTGCCATGTTTTATAGTAGCCTTAACTACACAGAATAGCTTAGCTGTTAGCTCCCTCGGGCGCCCCATAGTCCCAAGAGGCGCCCGAGGTGTGCGTCTTCTGAAAGCACGTGGTGGAGGAATATCTGTTCAGGCTGTCATGTCATGTGACCAATACATGATCGAATCCGGTCAATTTTTTTTTTTCAAAATAAGAGGATAATATAGAGTAGACTCATACTAAAAAAGCGACCCGGTTCGAATGTCCCAAGGCCCAGTTAAGCCTGGTTCACACGGCAGGATATTTAGGCCGATTTAGACCCGATTTACCCCTTACGACAATCTTAAGAAACGCTCCGATTTCCGTAACAAAATCTTACAGATTATCCTGCCGTGTGTGGTGTGTTAAGACTGCACTCGTCGCTCGGAAGGACATCGGGACTGCTCCCGATCTCAAATCGGGGATATCCAACATGTTGGATTTTTTTGGCCCGATTTCTCTCCGTGTGTGGTGTCCCCCGAGGACAGACGTGCGCGTTGCCATGACTGCGGCGTGTAGCCAATCAGAAGACGAGACGAGGCGGTGAGGAAACGCCTCCATATCACGATGTAGCAAGTATAGTCCATGCTCGTGTTGTCTACACTTCTTTGACCATCGCCTTTTCTTTTGATTACGTCTTTTCTCCGATAAAAACAAACTATCGCCAATGCATCCTCTTCGTCCGCCATGTATGTTTACTCTGAAGTCACGCTTGATCTCGCGAGACCTGAGATTTCCGTCTGATCTGTGAATTCTCGGGGGGGATCGGTTCGTGTGTGGTTTGCGTGATTCTTGCCGTGTGGCTGCGCACCACACACTGTACGACCAAAGTGGTTAGACCCGTGATTTTTTATCTCCCTGTGTGGGGTCTCACACAGAGAAAAATCGGCCGACAATTTCAAAATCGTCTCGTGTGAACCAGGCTTTAGAGACCACTGACGTACCATACTTCATATTCATATTGCAAGCTTCGGGAGGGGTGGATCTTGAATAAAGACATCGTTGTCCAGACTATTTCATTAGCTTAGCAGAATGAATTCCATGATTAATGTAGCCCAACTAGTTAAACATGAGCAGATCTAAACCACTTCTTGTGGATGTTGGATTTGACAAGGGCAAGAAGTAGTTAGCTCAGAGCTACGCTAATAGAAAAGCTAACAATGTCCCGCCAGAAACAAACACACGTAGAACCGTACATTTTCCACAGTAAAGGACTTGACTACACAATTAAAACGTGTCAGAATTTACATTTAACAGCAACTATCCCTAAAACTATTGCTAGCCACTAAAATATTTGCGCGGGTTAACATGTAGAGGCAATGCTAACCAAAATTAGCTAAAATTGTCATCTACCCACAGGACAGGTTTCACATTCAAATTGGGAAAATAAACCAAAGCTTAACTTCTATCAATGCAATTACAATTAGTTAAATGAGAGATTTCAGGACAAACTTACCTCCGAGAGTTGCTGCGAAAAATGGCGCTGTGTCCTTGTGCTGCGTTCTGAGAAGTTTGAAAAGGGGGAGTGGCTTCCCAGAGTTCTCATAACACCAGGCTGTTTAACAACTTGAAGTTACTCTGACACTGATGGGCTTTTAACTCTATCCGCTGTTAATTGAACTCTGAAAGAGTTAATGAACTTTTACACTATACATTTAACACTGCTGAATTTACTGTGTAGGTCGCAGATCTGTGGTTCTTCTTCCTCCTGGTCCTCATCCTCTTCCACTCCTTCCAGTGAAGCCTGTGTGCTGTTACATAATGCAAATGCATTTGTATTTATTTTAATACAATGTTATGTTTTAAATGTTTTTTTTACGAGTGTAAATTTAAATTTTAAAGTAACACTCTCTCATACTCTTACCTTCTCAATGACAATTGAAGGAGAATGAAAGATATTTCCTTCTCCCACTTCCACTCTTTTGTGGTTCCTCCTCCAGATCCACTTGTTAGCTTGTTTTTTTTATGCCTGACAAAGCTGTCCCGGAGTTGCCTCCACCTTTTTTTGCAATCCTCACCTAATTAATTAAAAAAATGTGGGTTACATTACAATTATTATGTTTTAAAACATGTTTTTTTTCCCCTCAGGTTTCTTGCAACTGGGGAGTCATTCAGGAGCTTGGCCTTCCAATACCGCCTGGGCAAAGCAACAGTGGCCAATATAGTTCACACAACTGTTCGTGCCATCAAGCGATGCATGCTGTCCACCCAATTCCCCCCAATGACCGAGGTAACATGGAAAGCCACTGCTGAGGGCTTCTGGGAAAGATGGGGCTTTCCCAATTGCTTGGGTGCTATAGATGGAAAGCACATCAACATAAGTGCTCCAGCCAACAGCGGAAGCCAATATTTGAATTATAAAGGCCACTTCTCTGTTGTCCTTTTGGCCTTGGCAGATGCCAACTATAGACTGCTTTTCTTTCAAGTAGGGGACTATGGGCGCACAAGCGATGGTGGTGTTTTTAGTGCTTCCCGGCTGAAGAAAGGACTGGAGAGGAAAACATTACACGTCCCCGGTGACGTTCCATTGGCGGGTTCAGGTTTACATGGGCCAATGCCCTATGTCGTTATGCTGCATTCCCCTTAAAAACCTTCTTGATGCGTCCATTCCCCGGACGGAGCCTTCCCCCACAGAAAGAGACTTTCAACTACAGACTTTCAAGGGCCAGAATGGTGATTGAATGTACTTTTGGAATTTTATCGTCAAGATGGAGGGTCCTCCTCACCACCATTTCAATGGACCCCAAAAACGTGGATTATATAGTTTCTGCCTGCTGCATTCTCCATAACTTCCTTCATTCTGAGGAGGAAGCAGAAAGATGCCTGGAAGAAGCAGTGGAGGGGAATTTGTTCATGGAGCAAAATGAGGAAGGAAGGGGAAATTGAGCTAGCCAGACTGCGATTGAAAAAAGAAATAAGTTAGCAGCTTTTTTCAGTTCAGATGAAGGGAGGCTGTGATACTTTCATTCTGTCATTATGTAAATATGTTACAATTTGTAACTATTGTTGACTGTAAATAAAATATGATTCCAACTCATGTGTTTTTCCGTTATTATTAGAGTATTATTACATGCACATGCCAACAAACAGAAACAATGAACACACTGCTGACAGTTTGTATGCCACATGAAATTATTAAAATAAGGTCTACAGCAGGTGATTTTGGAAATTACACGTGTACTTAAGTTGCCTATCTTAACTAACTTATCTTTTTGTCATTGAAAATAGTAATTAGGGAATCTGGAATTGCAATAGAAACTACTTGTGTTATTACGCTTTTAGAACTGTTATCTATCAAGACAGTAGCTCACTAGTGCAGTAGTAATGTATTTGTATTGGGGGAAAAATAAAAATGGCAAATTTGTGGTTTTCGCTCCGTGTTAACTTTATTCATACTGACACACTATACTTACTTTTGACTCCCATCATTGAAGAAATCATGTCCCAAGCCTTGTCTTTCTTCCTTGTATCTTTGTAGTAACTATTGCTAGTGTCGTACAACTCAGGGAATTGCTCGACACTTTCAATTAGTTTAGCTTCGTTTGGACAGCACAAATACGAAATCAGTGACGTCGCCCGGCATGGCGCAGCCGGGGCCCCACCCTGGAGCCAGGCCTGGGGTCGGGGCTCGTATGCGAGCGCCTGGTGGCCGGGCCTTAGCCCACGGGGCCCGGCCGGGCTCAGCCCGAATGGACGACGTAGGCAGTCCCTCCTGTGGGCCCACCATCCGCAGACGGGTCCGTGGTGGCGAAGCGGTGCAGAGAGGACTGGGCAGCGGTCGAAGGCGGAGACCTCGGCGACCCAGTCCGCACACACAACAGCTGGCTCTTGGGACGTGGAACGTCACCTCACTGGGGGGGAAGGAGCCCGAGCTTGTGGGGGAGGTTGAGCGATACCGACTAGAGATAGTCGGCCTCACCTCCACACACAGCTTGGGCTCTGGAACCCAACTCCTTGAGAGGGGTTGGACGCTCCACTTTTCTGGAGTTTCCCGCGGGGAGAGGCGGCGAGCTGGGGTGGCCATTCTCATTGCCCCCCATCTCAGCCGCCACGTGTTGGAGTTCTCCCCGGTGAATGAGAGGGTCGCGTCCCTCCGCCTACGGGTGGGGGACAAGTCTCTCATTGTTGTGACGGCCTACGGGCCTAACAGCAGTGCAGAGTACCCGGCCTTCTTGGAGTCCTTGGGAGGGGTACTGGACGGTGCACCGCCCGGGGACTCCGTTATTCTCCTGCGGGACTTCAACGCCCATGTGGGAAACGCCAGTGAGGGGTGATCGGGAAGAGCGGCCCCCCTGATCTGAACCCGAGCGGTGTTCAGTTGTTGGACTTCTGTGCCAGTCACAGTTTGTCCATCACGAACACCATGTTCGAGCACAAGGGTGTCCACCAGTGCACGTGGCACCAGGACACCCTAGGCCGGAGGTCGATGATCGACTTTGTTGTCGTATCATCTGACCTTCGACCATGTGTCTCGGACACTCGGGTAAAGAGAGGGGCGGAGCTGTCAACCGATCATCACCTGGTCGTGAGTTGGATCCGCTGGCAGGGGAAGAAGCCGGTCAGACCTGGCAGACCCAAGCGTATAGTGAGGGTCTGCTGGGAACGTCTCGCTGAGCCCCCTGTCAGACGGACTTTCAACTCACACCTCCGGGAGAGTTTCTCCCAGGTCCCGGCTCGTAGCTGTGGTCGCAGGGTCTCTGGAGCTGGAACACTGGACCAGCTCTATACTCTCCGTCGGATACTCGAGGGTTCATGGGAGTTCGCCCAACCTGTCCACATGTGCTTTGTGGATTTGGAGAAGGCGTTCGACTGTGTTCCCCGGGGTGTCCTTTGGGGGGTTCTCCGGGAGTACGGGGTCGGAGGTCCTCTGCTGAGGGCCATCCGATCCCTGTATGACCGGAGCCAGAGCTGTGTTCGCATTGCCGGCAGTAAGTCAGACCTGTTCCCGGTGAATGTTGGCCTCCGACAGGGCTGCCCTTTGTCACCGGTTCTGTTCACTGTATTTATGGACAGAATATCTAGGCGCAGCCAGGGGTCGGAGGGGGTCCGGTTCGGAGACCACAGGATTTCATCTCTGCTGTTTGCGGACGATGTTGTCCTGTTGGCTCCAACGAACCAGGACCTGCAGCATGCACTGGGGTGGTTTGCAGCCGAGTGTGAAGCGGCTGGGATGAGAATCAGCACCTCCAAATCCGAGGCCATGGTGCTCGACCGGAAAAAGGTGCCTTGCCCTCTGCAGGGTGGAGAGGTCCTTCCTCAAGTGGAGGAGTTCAAGTATCTCGGGGTCTTGTTCACGAGTGAGGGAAGAATGGAGCGTGAGATTGACAGGCGGATCGGTGCAGCGTGCGCAGTGATGCGGTCGCTGTATCGGACCGTTGTGGTAAAGAGGGAGCTGAGCTGAAAGGCAAAGCTCTCGATTTACCGGCCAATCTTCGTTCCCTCCCTCACCTATGGTCATGAGCTTTGGGTAATGACCGAAAGAACGAGATCGCGGATACAAGCGGTCGAAATGAGCTTCCTCCGCAGAGTGGCTGGGCGCTCCCGCCGAGGGGAACCAGTTGAGGTGGCTCGGGCATCTGTTCCGGATGCCTCCTGGACGCCTTCCTGGGGATGTGTTCCGGGCACGTCCCACCGGGAGGAGGCCCCGCGGAAGACCTAGGACACGCTGGAGGGACTATGTCTCTCGGCTGGCCTGGGAACGCCTTGGGGTCCCCCCGGACGAGCTGGAGGAAGTGTGTGTGGATAGGGAAGTCTGGGCGTCTTTGCTTAGACTGCTGCCCCCGCGACCCGGCAACGGATAAAGCGGAAGAAAATGGATGGATGGATGGATGGATAGCTTCGTCTATCGTGACGTCCTTGATGCTTCAATAGTGTCGTGCTTTGCATAGATCACAGACACGTGACTAGGCACCTGGCAAAAAGGGGTGGAGAGAGAAAAAAACAAAATATCAAGGCTTTTTTGAAAGCGAGTCAATATTGACATTACGCGAATAATAAACGGCAGATTTATATCAGGGAAAAAATTCTTAAATATTTAAAATAATGTGATAAATATATTATTCCATTGCATTTTCAATGGAAAACGGACCCGACACGCGTCAACGGACGGAACAAATAGGATTGTTTCTATTTCGTCCGTCCACGTCCGTTGCACCCTCCGTTGACGGAATCGGACGGACGGATGTTGGAGGCAGTAGAGCCACTTCCATTCACTCTCATTGAAATAATGGAAACATAGATGAAACGGACGCGTTTGGACGGATCCGTCGTCCGTTTTACGCGCCCGGTGGAGTCGGGGCCTAAGACCTGAGTCTGCGCAGCGCGTGCAGCCGTTGAAAGAGAGGAAGAAGCGAAGGGCACGACCCTCTCCACGGAACCCAGAGGTCTCGGCACCTCCACCGCCTCAAAAGAACTCAACAGGTCCACCAGCATCATCATCAGCAGCGGATACAGCATCAGCAGCAGCAGTGGCTGCCACAGCGTCATCAGCGCCTTCAGCATCAGCGCCACCAGCACCAGCTGTGGCTGCTGCATCATCTTCAGCAGCACCTTCCCCACCTACAGCTCCCGTGAAGCCCCCCCCATTGCTCCAGGCTACAGACAGGCCTGTACTGGGGGCCTCTCAACCACCTCCGTCTCCACCAAAGACTCCCTCATCACCTTCCATGGACCCAGTTTGGGTCCCCCCCGCCAGAGGCGTCCCGTGCCAACAGGCAAGGCAGGCAGCTGCCTGGGGCCCCCAAACCGGCAGGGGCCCCTGAGGGCCGACTGATTTGACACAAGCGGTCGACTTGTACAGGCCACAACAGGTACCTGCAGTGACGAGTTGCAATTTGACCGCCCGTCTCAAATCCCCTGATAGGGCCCCGCTCCTCTCGCCCCTCCCCCCACGTGTGTCAGTGACAGAGGTGAGGTGAGCGGAGCGTGCAGGCAGCGTGCCATTTCTCCCAAAGCAAAACAAAGTTGTCCGACCAAATGAAGAGAAGTTATCCTTCTGGAAGCAATAAACGAAAGCGCAAAAAAGAGGAAGACAAGAAAAGAAAGCATGATAGCGGTGAGTGACTGTCTAATGACTGTCTTATCTTTAAGCTCAGTCTGCCGCTACACACACTACTACAGCCCCAAGTACTGCCACGCCAAGGTTTACTGCCCCCTCAAGCTCTACAGCCCTGGACAGCAGCGCTTTCTCCAGTGAGCAGCAGTCAGCTATATCCAATACTGCAATTGTCAACATTTCGTCGCCTACCTCCATTGACCAAGAGGACCAAACAGAACCACAAGCACCCACTCCAGGTATGATATTAGTGCAATAATATATTTAGTTTTAAAAAATGCTTGAATTTTACACACTATGGCCTTTTGTAGTATCTACCATATCTATAATTTCAAACAAATATAAGAGGTATACTTGAAAATAAATTAATATCTAAGTTGGTTTGTATTTTGAAGATGTGTAAATTAAAAATACATAAATAGTAATGTAAATATGGACATACTTAGCAAGCCATCTTTAGCAACAATTGTAATTGTAAAGGCTGTAAAAAGAGACTAAACATAGTGTTTGTTCAAGTAATGATATCACATCAGGATTATTTATGGTTATTGTGTTTTTCTTTTGAGAATTCATGTGTTTTTTAAATTTGTTTCAGCTCAAACGGTATCCACAGACCAAGAAAAAGCAACACCAATAAGATTGACATCTTCTGATCCTGGACAGTGGCCTGATGTTCTTAATGATGGTGAAAAGAGTTCCCTGGTGAAAAAAGGTCCTCTTCAGGTGACGGATATTGTTTTTCCTCAAAGCAATGAACAAAATCCTCGGAGATTCACAAAGGAAAATTATTACATGGTCATGAGAAATGGTGAAAAAATAAAGCGAACATGGCTAGTATATTCAAAATCGACCGATTCAGTCTTTTGCTTTGCTTGCAAAATATTTGGCAAAAAGGACAATAATGCTCTAACTAAAGGAGGGCTTAAAAACTGGAAAAACCTTGTTGCACATTTAAAAGAGCATGAATATTCCAAACCCCATATAAATAAGATGAAAAGTTGGCATGAGCTCCAGATAAGGTTAAAAACAAAATCTGCTCTAGATCAAGTTCTACAAAGAAGTATTGTCACAGAGTTGAGAACCTATAAGCAAAGCTTATAGGCTTTATTGTTTAGTTGTTAATTATGTTTTCATAATATTGTTGTTCTGCTGATCTTTTTTGTTGTTAGTATTTTGTCAATTCTGTTTCAACTTTATGATGCAAATAAATAATATATTTATATCTACTGCAGTATTAACCTTTTTATGTGGTTATATGGTCGGTATCGGGGCCCCCAAGGACTCTTTTGCCTGGGGCCCCGGGGTACCCTTGGAACGCCACTGCCCCCCGCCACATCCACTCCATCTAAGGAACATGAGGACGACCTTTCCCTGTGTTTTCCATCAC